GCACCACAAATTAAATGAGCGATGACACAATTGGTCGATTCGTGTGACACCCTACATAGTAACAAAGACGAGATTACCATCAAACCCCCAGTGTCCATGCAAAACATAAGCACACATCGATAGGACAAGACCTTGGGCAAGCAGGGGAACAGCCATCAAGGCTGTTGGGCAGAAAATCTACATAAACACACACCAAGACAAAAGAAACGTTGAGGAAAAGAAGGAGAAGGAGAGACGGGTATAAGAGGAAGAGAAAAAAGTGAGAAAAGAGAGAGAGATATAAAGAAGTAAAAAAGAGAGAGGAGTAGAAGGGAGAGGGGTGTCAACCCCACAGTCATCAGATCAGTATGACTACAAAAAGGTCACAGTAGAGCACAGTAATAAAAGCAACCGTATCAAAAAATAGGTAGAAACCTCACGTCAGGGTCCAAAATGCTTCAGAATCCAGGGCATCCATCTGGATAAAAAGACATCAGAGCGGTCGCACCACTCAATTCCGCAGTCCACTCCCCAACTGAAGGAACAGCTGGGGAATTCTAGTGCCTCAGTATGAGAGCCCTGGCAGCATGGATAAAAAAGCAAAGAAGGGATTTCTTTACTTTAGAGATAGGACCCGGGAAGATAGACAATAAAGCCATTTTAGGCGTAATATGAACCGCACTAGAGGCAACTTTTGAGTAAACGTGTGAGATGGCTCGCCAAAAGGGCAAAATCAGGGGGCAATTCCACCAAATGTGAGTCAATGTACCTACATCAGCCAGGCATCTCTAACAGGAATCTGGGTAGGCAGAATACATTTGGTGCATCCAAACTGGAGCCCTGTACTACCGGGTCAGGAGCTGGAAATTACGCTCCTGAACTGAGGAAGACATACATAATTTATGTGTAAAGCAAAAACATTTGAGTCTATCCTCCTCAGAAAGGACTACATCCAATTCCTTTTCCCAAGCAGATAAAAAGTACGGCGATCCCTCACGATCCGCTGATCGTGGATAGAAGAGGATAGAATCTTGAGGAAATGCTAAAGCTGAAGGTAGGCAAACCAAGAATGACGCGTTGGAGGGTCAGGGCTAAAAAGCAGGGAAAGAGACTTTAGGTCACCATCAGATATGCCCTGAAAGACATAGGGAGGATGCATCAGCCCCCCAGCAGAGGAAAGTATAAACCCGGGAACCCAGAGAAAAATCAGGATTAGCCAAAAGGACCCTGAAACGTAGACACGTTATATCTATGCATCGTGGAATTCCATACCCTGAAACGTAGACAGATTATATCTATGCATCATGGAATTCCATACCCACATCACCAAGAGCGTAAAAAAGGACAAGTCAGAGGTGCGAGGTTGAGAGCTATGGGAAATTTGTCAGTGGGACTGGGGACAGGTCTCGCTCAAGGAGAACCCAGAGTGCAGGGTCCTGGGAGTCAAACCAATCAACCAAGTGAGATAAATGAGTGGCCTTGTAATAGGATTCTAAATCCGGAAGAGCAGCCCCACCATGTTCCTTTTTCTTTACCAAAACAGAATACCGGAGCCGGGGTTTTTTATTCCTCCAAATATATCGCAAGACCTCCGATTGCAGCCGACTAAAGAAATTAGTAGGAAGGATTATGGGTAGAGTTTGAAAGAGGTAGAGGAAACAAGGGAGCAAATGCATTTTAGGAACTTCAAATATTTCAATTCTTTCATT